AAAATTATAAGACAATACCAAATGGAAGGCTCAATCTTTGTATCCTGATACTGCACACATACAATACAAGTAGTTGGAAAGGAAAAGATACAGAGGGTGTGTGCGGTGAGTGACAAATGGGTAAGCTCCAGGTTAAGTACAAAATAAGCAACAGTCCCTAGTGGCAGCATATCAGACAATACTCATTTCATTGTCAGAGTAAAAACATATTTCTTTAAGAAAACCAAACAAAAACCCCAACTGAATGTTACAATGCATGCCAAGTAATTATTGCTTTCCACAATGTGTCCTGTGACTCACTGCGCCACAATAAATTGGCATATGGTGCTCATTCAGGGTATATAACTCACACATTTGCAATAGCTCTAAAGAGCCAATAGTTACTTGGACTGTAGTTAATTTGGGGGGGGGTTAATTTCCCCATGGCAATGCAATAAGTGTTGTGCTTATTATTGTATTTTTATTTTTTTTTTAATGTTTTTAGTGGCAGGCAAGTGTCATTAACGCCTGAAATCTCTTGTATGCTAGAGAAATCAATTCAGACAACCTCTGGCATGCAAAAGCACATAAATAATTGGTAAATACTACCTGTGGTCTTCCGGGTCCAGATTTGCCTGATGCCAAGAGCAATCAACTCCTTTTTGGCTGCAAAGGATAGGAGGGCACTCAATACCTTGCAGAAGGCACTCAGTACCTGGCAAAAATCAAGCTTTCTGTGTGCCAGCACCACATGAAAGAGCAAACCCTGAAGTGCGTATGACAGAAATGGTTTTCTTCTCTTATAAGGGAAGGCAACCTCCTAGAGAGACACAGAGCCAGCTCTCTATAAGGTGCTGAATACTCTCCCTGCCTAGGAAAGGTGCACTTCCTATGCTTACTCTGTTTAAAAAACAGCTCTAACTCTTATCAAAGGAGAAAAAAAAAAGTAACAAATCATCTGTCTTTTAGAGCATCTGCTCAAGAGTAGGAGTAGAGTGGAAATCCAGTTATCATTAATAAGACACCAAAGATGCTTAAAAGCAGGCATCAAGCAGTGGCAGAAGAAACTGTGTGTGATTACAAGAAAATTCTTCTCCCACAATCAAGATTACTGAAACGAGCCCGGGCTACACCGCGACTTGTGAATAACACAAAGAGAATACAGCTAATGGAGCTTTCCATCATACTGAGATGATTTAAAGAGGGGGTGGAATCCTTCTACATAACACACATATACATTTGAAATAAGTCCACTAAAGCCAGTGCTATTCATTAGCAAAAGTGGATCAGTAAGATAAACGTGGACCACTGGGATTTTGCCCATGTAGGGACTCAGAGCTACAGCAGAAGTGCCATGAGTCTCAAGGTCAGCAGGACTGATTCCTGAAAAAGTGGGTCTTTGCACAATGATAAAGCAATAGCTATGCTACTGGAATCAACAAAGCTACACTAGAGAAATCAGTTGAGAATTAGATCCTGAATTTGTATGTGTCTGCAGCTAATTTAACAGGTATTCAACAACACTAATGTCTCAAAATGTGACTTGGAAGGAAAAACATAAACAAACATCTCAGCCTACAGCTTTATTGGTCCCTGATCCCCAAGGAGGCAATTATTCCCTTGGTGCTGTTCTGTATGGGCCAAATACCATGACTGCCAATACAAATGTTTTTTCCTGGATTTTTTCTTTATAAAATGTAGGTTTGGACTGTGTGTCCTCAGGTGTTTCTTCAGAACAACAAGTTCCAAATGGTGATCGGGGAATATGGCCATGACCTTAGCACGAATGGCAATGGCGAGTAGCAATCTCCTCTGCCCGTTTCTTCACCTTGAATCTCCTGAACTGTTCAATCATGTGGAAAACAGTTGAAATTGTGTCTGAACCAAGACTGCAATGGTCTGACCTGTGCTCTTTTATTATCATTCGTAGATTCTTTGCTAGTGCTCACAAAATACTCTCCATCTCCTCAGAAATATTTTTGCTTTATCAACACGTTTGTTGCATCCTTCCTCTAGGAATGTACTGGAGAAAGTGCAAAAGTACATAAAAATTAAGTAGAGCTCAGACTTTTTCCAATCAAAAATCATACTCATCTATGCGGAAATGTCAAAGTCTGCATTTCACCCAAGGAGATAAAACCAGCATTTAGGTAATAATCACCTTCTCCTCAACGCAAAGACCCTCTCTCCAAAGAAGGAAATGCTGCCTTTGTCCAGATCTCATACACTTATTCTCTTGTTGGTTAATTCATGACAGTGTTAGCTAGATTTTCATTATAGGTTGTTATTTGTATCTGCTGTTTTCATGAAGCAGCTGTAATAAACAAGCGAAATTTATGTTCCTTTTTAAAATGCTTGAAATAATTAACATTGTTAAATTTAGACTCCGAAGGAACCTACTGATTTCTCTATTTTTTTTAAATAAATACAGAGGCTACACAGCAATCTACCACCACCCATCAGGCATGGGCCAGAACAGTATGTGCTCCATACACCATCCAAAATGTGGTTTTAGATGAAGAAATAATTTAAGTTCTCCAAACAACCTTTTAAAAGTAAATGATGGTTGTGCTGAATTGTTTTAACTGCACTGTGTGTTACTATTCTCCAACCTAAACTCAGACAGGACTTCTTTTTATCCCTATTCTGGTCTATACAGGTGCAAATGGGTCCCCTGGATCTGGATCACGCTGGTAAGCTCAGTGGAAAGTAGGCCCAAAACTGAGACTCAGACCCAGATCAGAATTTTGCAGCTGACTTCCTAGCTTGACGATTCATACTGCATCCAACTATTATAAAAGCCCTGGCCCATGTCAGGCATTCAAAATACCATACTCTGAGCTTGTGGTTTGCTCTCATCTCTGCATCATTTACTTTCTCCACTCATTCTCCCTCAACCACAGCTTGCTGTATTGGCAGTCCAGATACTCATTTAAAATAAGTAAACACGTTGCCCTCCCCAGCCCAATTTGGCAATTTCACAGCTACTGCTGCGTTTCAGAGCCTGATCCAACAAACCTGCTTCATGACAGCACCGAACAAACATCCTCTAAACAGCTTTTCACTCATAGGGTGGTTGTTGGGTTTTTTTCTGTCAGTTTTGTGATTCATCAGCCTTACAGTATTTTTCTTGGTGCGGATACCACCATCCCAGCAGTCCAGGTTTCCTCAGTGCAATGGGTAAGACAAAATGAAATACCAGGGGCCACGACAGAACGTAGCCTTAATGGTTCTACAAGAGGGGACTGATGTTGAGCAGACGTTCAGCTGACTACAACCCCACAAGAGGTGAGGAAAAGATCATCTGCTGTGGGAATGACCACATTGTGCCATGAATAGAAGGGATACAGGGACAATATACTAACTGTGTAATGAGAAAAGGTACAAAATGAAGACAAGGAAAAGGCTAAACCTGTCAGTTTTTACGTTATGAAATTTATAACTAGAGGAAGGAAAAGTTAGGGAAGGTATGCAGACAAGAATGATGGAGCTGGGAAAGGAGTCTGGAGTAATGTGCAGAAGACAGTTGTAATAGGTATCAAAATGTAAAATTGTAAGTACTTCTTTGCTCTATATATAATAAAACAGTAACAACTTCTACATGAATGAAAAAATCCCAGGGCATCAAAATAAATACATAGGCATACTGTCTTAAATCATTCCTGGGTAAAATAAGTAAGTGGCATGCAATGGGATGGAGATTTAGTGCTGGGAAGTATAAATCCCTGTGTCTCAGGACAGCAGTGGCATTGCCTGAGGAGCAGCAAAGCCGTGAATCCAAGAAAGACCTAAAGGTGATTGCAGGTAAGATTAGCCAAGTAATAGAGTTTCTCTGTGTGATGCTACTGAGTGATGTAGGAGAAGGGCCAAAGGCTAAGCTATTTCTGAATGCATACATATGAAGGGATGATATGGAAATCTAAAGCATAATGCTATGTCAAAACAGCCACAGTGGATATAGTATGAGCTGTTCAAGTCTCCACAGATTAGAAAGGAGATAGAAAAACTAAAGGAAATACAAATAAGGATAATAAAAATAATCTAAGGAGAGAGTAAGACAGGTAAATTAATAAGGTCTATAGATGAGAAGACTCCTGGGCTGAGATCCAGCTATAAATACCTTCAAGGTACTGTGTGTAGAGGAAGGTAATTAATCTAGCTCAAAAGACAGTAAGACAAGAAGCAATTGCTTGAACTTAGGAATTGAAAAATTCAGGGTATATAATAAGAAAAAGTTATCTGAAGAGACTCATCTGCCCGAGAGGGCAGACTCCCCACAGTAGACACACTTACTGTATGCAACCGAGAACAGGTTGAATAAGGAAGGGGCTCTGGGAAATGCTGCAGTCACAGCCTTCTATAGTCCAAAGAGATGACCACAGTCCAACTTACTGGTCTTTCAGTCTCTTTTTTTGGGGGGTATCTGAAAGACTGCTCCTCTACTTAAAAAAAAAAAAAAAAATCAACACCCAAACCTATGTATCCATATAGTGACAAGTGACAATACATCCACGCCAGAGCTCAGAAATGGGGGTGTGCAGCACTCTGGTGTGCAATGCAGGTAACAGCAAACCTCTCACACTCTTCTGGTGTGTGCAATGTGACTCTGCTGGGTGCCGGGCAGGACAGTGCCAGCAGGACAAAAACTGCTGACCCAGCCAGCAGATTATTCTGAGTATCTCAATACCAAGGTCAAAGGCTGAAGTGGGAACTACCTCTTGTGATACTCGTGGTGTTCCCCAGCCTTGTGTTAAGAGATCCTGCATGGAAGCTTTCAATGTCACTGCATAAATTATGTACTTTGATTTATGATTAGCTGAAAACCAACACTATCAGTATTTAACAATCCTCAGGAGCTCTAAAATACACTTGCATTACGAAAATAAAATAAAAATCCCCAAATATTTGCAACAGGCCTTACAATTTTCAATGACAAATGGGTATACAGAAATGTGAGGAATATAAAACCCAAGTATCGTTATACCCCCCCCTTAAACATATCCCATCCCAACTGCACTCACCAGTCGGGACTTCTGTCCCCTCCTCAATGTAGATGGGCAGTGGTGATTCCTCCATAGGATGAGGCACTGATGGAAAGTAATGAATTGTGGTAGTATTTGTCGCAAAGTGACTACAATAAGATGGTCCCTTTCTTATCATTACAACTACATATGGCTGGTTACTGTCACAAAGAGTCCTTTCTCAAAGTGGTCACCTCCTGCCACGGTGACCGGACCAAGTCACAGTCCTGAGGGGTTAATCCCCACGGAGCATTCACCATCACAGGAATTAACCCCTTCTGAATGGGGCCTGGGAGAGGTCCCTGTCCTGGATACTTCATGATCCTATTGTTTTGCTATAGCCTTACTATTCCCCTCCCTGGAGTTTAACTCTCTTTTGGAAACTAACACAGTGGAAGAAGCCAAGAAGAGCCAATGCATAGACAGGCACAAATAAGAGTTATCGAGTCAAAGTCATACTATTTCATGCACAGAACCAGAAGAGAGAGGCTCTGATGCTCAAAGCTTGCCGTTAGCTGTTGAAAAGCCACAGCAGGTGATGGAAGGCTGCACCACAAATGGCTTCTGGACCACAAACTCTTCATCACTAATTCATTTTCGAATATATGTATTGGGCTTAGGAAGCTCCCGATCATTTGTTTGCGATATTGAAATCTCTAGACAAAACTCTTCACATCTGTGCTGCGCATTTATTCTGCAGTTGCCAGACACCATACAGCCACTGCTGTAGGGTTTGTCTGTTTAGGTTCTTCTCTATTTGGGAGCTTCTTCCCTTAAAGGTGGTTTTGTTGCACTATTTCCCATTTAAAATCTCTGGGAAGCATGTGTTTCACAGGCTTTTCAAGAGGTTTGAATTTCCTACACTAGAATGATATAATAATGAGCTACAAATGTTGAAAACGGTCATAATCAAAAGCTTTCTGGAATTTTTCCTTCTCCGTTACCCTTTAAGAATTATGATGTAGCTTCTCAAAGACACAAACTGTTAAGCTGGTCTCAGATAGGACTCCAGCTGCAGGGAAGGACAATTCTTTAATCCTTTGTGGGGTATCCTTCACTTACTACTGGCTTTTTTTTTTGTTTTTGAAAGATTGTCTTATGATACCCATAAAACCAGCCAAAGAACACTCGTGGTTTAAACCTATTAAATAAAGTGTCTTACGACGTTTCTGCTAGAAACACAACCAGAATCAAGAGTGTTTACAACAGATGCTTGACTAGCAACAGGCTTAATACAAACCCCACACTGGTGCTTCGTGGGATGCAAAAGGCTGCCAGGTCCCTGCCTTACCTAAGCCCACACCTTGCTCACGTGGAAGATGAAGGGAAGCACAGGGGAGAGGAAGAGCAGAACACGGTTGCCTACAGAACTACCGTACAAGCCACAGAAATCATGGTCTACCGGGGCGCCTTGCGCAAGCCACTTTTATCTAGAAGCTGAACTAACATTCCAGCTCAACAATAGCAAAAAAAACATTCGTTACCACACGGCGTTTTGCTACATATTAACCAGCAGTTGCTACGCAAGCATAATGGAGTGCTGCAATTCCAAGATATATGTTATTTTTCAAAAAAAAAAAAAAAAAAAAAAAAAAAAGGTTGACTTAGGGGAAATCAGCCTGAGGTGAGCGCTCATGGGCTTGCCATGCCACTGGACGCAGTACATGCTTGGAAGTTATGCAAAGCGGGCCCTGCATTGGGAACAATGCAGTAGTATTCCTTGCTAAGCTAATTTTGCATTAAGGCAACGCGAGTCTTCATCTATGCAGCCCCTTAAAACATTTAATCAGATTTATTTACTAAAAAGAAATACCAGAGCAGAGCTTCGTATACTACTCAAGAGTTTTCAAATCTGAGATCTGCAAGCAAACCAGGTCACTGTATGGAGTAGGAAAAAAGCCTGTTGTATTTTTATGACATGCAGCTTTCTTAGTCTCATGAAGAATACTGTACCGGGCTCACCCAGACCAAGCAGTCAGTCTGGAGCCAAATGCTTTCACAAAACATTTGCAACAGTGTTCACCAATAGCTGGTGGCACCTACTCTTATTTTAATGGGTACCAGCATAGGCTGTGGAAAAGGCCTGAAATACCTATAGGCGATTTGAGGCCAAATACACGTACGCACGCTCTCGCTTACCCACATGTATACATGCACACACTAGTACACATGCACGCAAACAAATGGCTCTATAGGCAGAACTTGGATTTTGTAGGATCCAAGGCAGAGAAGCTGACTCTTGTCACAGGGTTTGGGAATCAAGGATTTGGGGGTGCTAAAACGAGCTCTCACTTACAGGTCTCCTCTGCTTTAGGCAAACCACTTCAACATTATCCCTCCAGGATTTATAGACCAACTTTAAAGGCACACTGCTTAAATGTCTGCAAAGTGCCGCCTTGCAATGGTTTCTAAATTCTGCAGTGATATGCACAGAAGAACTGCACAGATAGATAGATTTAAGGTAACAGTTGCTGAGCATTATAACTGTATAACTACAGCCTATTTTTACATGCTCTATACTCTGTTTCTACAAACAGATGGTAAATGTTCAGTATTTGAACATTTTAATGAGCTTTATAACCCTTTTGTAATTTCATAAACAAGCATAAATAACACTTACATGAAGAAGAATCTGTCCTGAATGGATTTTCTTTTCCTGTTTGGAAAAAAAAAAAAGAGAGAAAAAAGGGCAAAACAATATTTTAAAGGAAAAAATGGATCTAGCAAAATAGTCAGATATATTTCAATGTTATCACGCATAGTGTTTTCTGAATTTCATCAGTATGAATTTATATTTGAAGAACACCAAGACAAAATAGGAGATCATTTCTCACTTGTTTCATCCTATGTAAAACATCACAGAAAATTTGACTATATCTGTCTCAAGCACAAGGAAATTACACTGCAGCAGTGAAATAAAATGCAAATACCACATGATCTGAAGTAAAAAAGGATGAACTTTTAACTACATTCCAGCTCACCGATAACCCCATGGCTCAACACACGGGTTGCTCTCCTACCTACGGGCAGCCTACCTACACCAACACCTGAAAGCAGGGCACTCCTGCTGCGTTTTGGCACAGTGCAATCATTTTTCCACGCCAGCGCTCACGCAACAACTGTATTCAAATGCGGGTCAGGCAGCCATGGCAGAGAAGGCGTTCTTCAAGGCTGTGACCGTTCTGCGCGACAGAGAACCACAACAGGAAACCCAGTAACTGCTAAAATGCACGAGCCTTCCCAACAGCCCAGGGGTCTTAACAGCCACCCTCCTGTGGCCCCGTGCCACCCGCCCTGCTGCCTCCCACCTAAAGCTTGCTGGCAGGATATGGATTTGATTCACACTCCCCTTCCACCAATCTAGCTGGTGGGTTTGATGGATGCTCTTGGAGGGGGGTTTAGGGTCAGCACTGAGCAGCTTTTTGCTGGTGTAAATCTAGACACGTTGGAAAAAAAGAGAGGCTGATATAAATACAGCAGATGCTGTAGGACACCAGCCACAGTTTCAGAGTCACAGACTGGCAGCACGGTAGCCCTTCCAATGGCAGTTTTTTTGGGGAAAAAAAGAGTGTTAGTTTCACTTAATTTCTACCACATTATCTTATATCAATATTAGCTACTCAGTAAGCAATTAAAGGGTACTGCCTAGAGCTTGCATGCCTTGGGATGATACTCAGCTAGCACAAATCAATTAAACCCATGGCACTACAACAGCTGAGGATTCAAGTAATATGCATGTATGGAAGAAATTCAACAAATATTAAATCACTGCATTTTCATCCTCACGCTTTTCTTCCAAATGCCCAGGCCCCAATCCCGCAAGCAGCCCCCCCCCCAGAGTAGCATTAGAATAAACTTGAGTTCTGTGTGCGGAGCACTTAAAGAGGACCAGACTCGGGAATACTTTAAAAAACATAACCCTGACCCATTCTTGTCATGTAAATTAAGTTAGTGATGAGAAGAAGTCGAAGGCACTAATCCTACTGGGTAATCTATTCAAAGCTGCACTTCTTAAATGATCTACAATTTATTAGTATGACCAATCAAAAAAGCATTACTTGCAAAAGGCTTTAACTACCATGGCTTTCCCATCCATTTTTATGTGTTGTAATATGGTTAAATTTAAAAGAAACACATCAGCATAATCTTTCCAGAGTAATTTGCCAGTATGATTAAAAGCCTGGGTAGGGCATCACTGCAGAGACTCCCCTTACTGGTGGAACTGGCAACACTGCCATTGGGGCGTTGAGGCAACATTGCCCCATTGCCCATTGGGGAAAAACTATGGGGCACTGGAAAACCTAGAAGGGGCAAAATAATATAGTAGGGGGTTGCTGCTGAGTCTTGAGGTGCATTGATGAAAATCCTGGGAGCATCACTGCCCAGGAAACATGGCAGCCTGCTGAAAGACTTGTGCCTCAGAGTCTCTTTGGAAACACCCAGCCCACAGGACTTGGCTATAAGCCACAAAGATGTAGCTCAGTCTTGGTTAGGCAGAGTATTGATTTAAGGAAGGCTCATTGAAATATTTGCAATGATTACCTGTAAGACAAGATCCTCGCTGAGGTTTTACAAACGCAACTGCGCTCAGGCATGGGAGGTTTCCCAAGTACCGTGCAGCAAGAGTAAGCCAATCTAAAGTGTCTTCCTATTTTTCCAGGGCAATGTTGCACCTCTTTTCATACAGCATTTCACACAGACTGAAGCCTCCTGCCACAGCCCCAACACTTCAGCTCTGACATTTAGGACACCTCCAGGCAACCCACCCAAAAGCTACAAATTAGCAACAAAGAGCAGTATGCCAAATTTTGCTCCTGGTTACAGCACAGTAAAATATATATATTTTTTTTTTAAATGGTAGCATTTGAAGCATTCCAAATTTCTAATGGATTCTAGACTAAGATCCCTAAACAAACAAACAAGAAACCCCAGGATTTTGACCTAGCACCCCCAAGCACTCAACCACCTTCTCGGTACCTCTAAATACCACAGTGCCACCTGCAAGCTCCTGCTTTTTGCGCAGTATGACAGAAAATAACCCTAACGTTTCACGGTAAAAGAAGCAGGTTAATAAATGACATCACGAAGCGGCCTTCCCCCCGCTCCGTGGCCGGGGGCCGGGGTCCGGCCGCACCCGCGGGGCAGCACCGCGACCCCACGGGCAGGGGAAGGTGTCTGTCGCCCTCCAGTGGGTGCAGCCTCAAAGCAGCCCAAACCGGGAGGGAGGTGGGAAGGGAAAGGAATGGAGAAGGTGAGACGCAGGCAAATGAAGAGAAAAGGAAAAAAAAAAAAAGCAAAGCAGAGAAGAGACAGTTGAAGAGGAAACACGAAGATGCTATCTCTGAAAGAGCCAAAGATAAAGTTTCCAGTGTCAGCTTAACCAGGGCAATAAAGACATCCTCCCGCCACACTCGTGCTTCAGCCTCAACTTACTCTGGGCGAGGGACACCGTCACGCTGCTGGCTGCCTCAACTGCTCACACGCTTTGCCTTAAAAAAACCCAATAACCTTCAGGGGAATCTTTCTGGACCACTGGTGTGAAGGTAGGCAATGCCAAAAAGTGGTCAGCTCGCCCAAATACAGAGTCAGAGGTAAACACCTGGCTGTCAACAGCCATCAGAGTTTTCACCAAAGCTTCTCCCCTCCAAATTCCACAGCAGGTTGTAACGGGCTGATTTACCCTCAAACCTAAAGCCATAAAATCTAAACTGGTAGCAAGTGCCATCCGAGTGCCGAATCACACAGCCGATGACACATCCCCCAACCAGGGCTGCCTCACTTTTTTCGCTAGTCCAAAACTCGAAACATTGTGACATACAAGCAAAAAAAAAAAAAAAAAAAAAAAGGCAGTTACCAAAATAGCACTATCAACGTAACTAGCTCCTCTCAGCACATTTTCTTAATGCCTTTCCCAATACGGTTAAAAAAATGGGAACTAACCAAAAAACTCCATCTTTACACCTTGGCACAAACCATGCTGGAATACGTGTGGGGTTGTATTTCTTAGTGTTTATCTGGATCCTCTCCCACTACTTTTTTTCATCAGTGCTTTCCTTTAAAAGTAGCTCTTATTAAACAGCAGAAACCAGCTTTTACAATTTCTAGATACAAAGTTTTGCCATTCTCGGAGCTGTCTAAGGAAAACACAGTTTGCCTTCTGTTTCATAAATAACACACACTCTGCACATTTCACTGCCTGTGTGAAATAAATTCTCCCATGTTCTTATATGGAAACCTTGCAAGTCCTCCCACGTGCCGCCTTGCTACAATATCAGGCAGAGATGAGCATTCATTATCTTAAAGCCAGCGTATGAATTTTGGATCCAAGTTACCCTGAGACGAACCCAGAATTATTGTCCCTTCACACCATACTGAGATCCGTACACTGCCCTGTGCTGTCCCTGCGTTTTATTTCCAAGCCCCAATCACAACTTCGATTTCGGCATGCCGAGAATCAACAAAATAGAAGGAAAACGAGGGGAATAAAAAAGGAAGAAGCAGCAACGGTTATTACCCACCAGGTAGGCCCATTAGCATCAGATGCAGCATTGCCTGGACCAGCCTCTTCGCTTGAGGTTAGCGCACGGCAGCCAGAAAAAATACAGCGGGGAGGGGTGGGAAGACGAGAGAAAAAGGGCAAAATCAGCCGCGGAGAGAAGCGTGCTCGGTAGATGTGCTGGAGGGCCGCCAGCAAGTGGGTAATTGCTGCAAACTGTTATCGCGAAAAAAGTTAACGCAAGGTGGGGG